TCATGAGACTCTACGAGCAGTACATCCTCAATGCCTGGGAGGACAAATCGTCCTTGGATTGGCAAATCTACCAACTCCTCTGGGACGACCTCCTACGCAACTGGGAGAACGAAAGAGTCCAATTCAAAGGTCGGGAACTAATTTTGCAAATTGACCTTAATTTCACATACTTATCCAAATAAACGCCTAAATTTACTCGGGGTTTCCCCCTAAAATAAAATTTTTTTACTCTTAGAACCACTCGAGGTTCTCCTTACGGTTGTTGAGCTTGTCACCGTCAATGTGTCTGACCTTCGTCTTCTTGCCTGGATTTGGAACCCATTGAATTGCGACAAGCTTGCCCATGGAAATTGAACCGCGATTCCGAAGGTTAAGGTTCAAGTGTCCCAAGTTGTTGAGGACTGGGGTAAGAACCTTGCCTGTCTCCTTGTTGCGGATTTTGTATGGGTAGGGTTGGGAAATTTCGTAAGTGTCATCGGCAACAAGGGTTGCCCAAACTTCCTCTTCTTCGTGTTTCTCTTCTTCCTCTTCTTCCTCTTCCTCTTCTTCGTGTTTCTCTTCTTCCTCGACAATTCCTTCTTCAATTCTGTGTTCACGAATTACGGTGTTGCATGTTCTGTCCTTTCCGAGTACCTTCCAGATGGCGTCTATCTCTTCGAAGAAACGGTAGATGAGTCTGGCAAGGTCTCGGTTCTCTCTCGCGTAAATGCGCAAGGTTTCCGTCAAATCGTTCAGGACTTTCTCATTGGAAGCTTGGTTCATGAGGAACTCACCTTTAAGTCCCTTCATCTCTTCCATAAGACTACTTTGGAGAGTCTTAACGGTGTTTGTCAGATGAGCTTTCAAATTCAAAATTTGAATTTGAACTGGGCGCTTGTCTGGCAACATTGAAAGGACATCTGCCATTGTGTTCGGCTTCGGTGCTTGTTCGGACATCGAAAAAATGAAGTGGTTTGAGAATGACGGTTTTACTTCAAAAAGCTTGTTATGACGGTTAAGTCATACAACAAGTTTAAAATAATATCTTGTTCTTCTTCTGAACGTTTGTTGTCTCTTCCGATAAAAGTTTCGAACATGAGAACCAAAAAACGTTTTTTGAGATTGCGGAAGAGTTCAGGCAAATTTTCATATTCTGGATATGTTGGGAGCAGTTCGAAACATCTGAGCTGACTTTCGGACAAAATTGGGACAATGTCAACAAATTCATCTTTGGTCGGACTGCTTGAAGGTAAGTCCCTTACATGTAAGTAGCTCTGGTAAAGTCTTCTCATTTCTGCTAACTTTTGGAGTATAGCTTCGTAGTTTAGAAGTTTTAATTTTAATTGTCTTATTCCACTCTTTACTTCTAAACGGTAAGTATCCATGAGGTCAAGAGTAGCTTTGGTAGCTTTAAGTGGAGCTATTTGTTCCTTGACTTCTGCAATTTTGGTTGCAATTGTGGTTTGAGCTCCTTCAAGTTCGCCGTCTATGTCGTTCTCAACGTCTTCAAGCATGGCTTGAAACTCTTCATCGGTCCATTGAGATTGGTGTGGAACGAATTTAACTTGCTTCATTCAAAAAATGAAAAAAATGTTTTTACTCAAAGCGTTAAGGTTTACTGAACTGGTTGGATGTCGCCTTCACAGGTTATGTAGAACGGCTGACCCGAGAAGTGAAGGAGACCCTTGAGAATTTGGCTCATTCTTGGGAAAGGGTTCTCTCTGTTTGGAAGTAGTATCCAAGGACGCTTGGCAAAGAACTTGAGAAGAGCTTCTTTCTTTGCTTGCTTTATGTCGTCGTAGGCTGTCCCGTCTGGTATTTGAATTGGAATTCCAGTCGAAGTCTCGAGATTCAAGGCAGCCCTTCCCGTTATCCAACCGCTAACAAGCTTGCCTTTTACATTCTGCCTGAGGAAGTCTTTAACAAGCTCGTTAATTTCAATTAGGTAAATTGCCTCGTCGGTAGGTTCGACCTCGACCATTGCTACTGTCAGTAAAAGTACTGCTACTGTCAGAAAAAGTACTGCTACTGTCAGAAAAAGTACTGCTACTGTCAGAAAAAGTACTGCTACTGTCAGTAAAAGTACTGCTACTGACAGTAAAAGTACTGCTAGTTGCAGTAAAAAGGAAAATTTGAGAGGGTTTTCGACGATAAAGTACTGCTACTGTCAGTAAAAGTACTGCTACTGTCAGAAAAAGTACTGCTACTGTCAGTAAAAGTACTGCTACTGTCAGAAAAAGTACTGCTACTGTCAGTAAAAGTACTGCTACTGTCAGAAAAAGTACTGCTACTGTCAGTAAAAGTACTGCTACTGTCAGTAAAAGTACTGCTACTGTCAGTAGCAGTACTGCTAGTTGCAGAGATTTTTATCGTTGTGGTCCGACGGTTAAGCCACAGACGAATGTCCGACGTCCCACCAACCGAGTCCATTCCCAAACCAGAGGAACCTAAAGCACCAGCCCCTGCACCTCAGTTCCAGCAAGTCCCTCCACCAAATTACTACCAATTTCCACCTCAAGGTTACTACCAATTTCCACTACAAGGCTTCCCGAACTACACTCCTCAGCCTATGCCTTACTTCCCCAACCCTTGGATGTTCCAGCAAGCTCCACCCCAGCAATTCCAATCTCAGTCCAAGAGAGACCAAGAGTTCGAAGAAGGTCTGAACCGCTTACGCAAAGATTATGCCACAGCCCCTATGGAAGACGACAGGCTTTCAGTCTCTTCCCTCAAATCGACCGATTCGACTCGTACCACAGATTCGGTTCGTGACCGTGAAGACTACCTCAAGCAGTCTGAGAGACTCTTCATCCTACAACCATTTACAGTTGGAGCTCTCAAGAACATGCGCAATTACGAAGGTCAGACACCAGCTGGAGACCGCAAAACAGACGTACTCGCAAGAGCAGTCCAACTGGTCAAGACAAAGACGGAGATAGTTGACTTCATTCTTGCAGCTTGCCCATACAAGTAAAAAAATAAACAATTACGAGTTAAACTTTTTACTCTTTCTTTTCTGAGTTGTTTAGAGCTGGTTTCTCTTGTAGAAACCTTTCGTACTCTTCCATGGTCATGTAATTGCGAATTTGGTACGCAATTCCAGGTTCGTTGTTTTTGAACCTGATGTATGTAACGCTTCCATCCTCCTCAGGGAAGTAAGCTGCTAACATCTGACCAAGTTTTCTCGGTGACTCGGAGCTCATAAAAATGTCACTTTTTAAACGTTAAGTTTTTAGTCTTATTTTACCCTTTGTTTACCCTTTGTTTGTCAAGGTAGTATTGGAGTGCAATTTCTCCAAATTCTCTGTGTCGGAGTTCTTCAGCATTTTCCAAGGTGTTCCTGGAGAACTCAAAGAAGTTGTCAAGAACATACTGCCATGCTGCTCTTCTGAGTTCGTCGGTATTTTGGAAGTGTTGCACCTTCGAGTCTTCGGACATGAAAAAATGACACTTTTTCTATTAAACCGTTTTGGCATTTCTCATGAGTGAGTATAGTTCTGCCGAACCATTGGAAGAGAAGAAGTACCCTTGCTGGCAAAAGACAAAAATAGTTGCCTTAGTTGTCATTGCAATTGTACTCGTAATTGAATTCATTGTACTTCTCTTCACGTACATAAAACTCAAGGACGGCATATGCTTTAAGAAGCTACCATCTTACTAAGACTAAACACTTAGATTTTTCAAGCTTGACTTTTTACAATTTGAATTTTGTTGCTGAATTCAGCAAAAATATAATTTAGGGTAGATGGGTAGCTCTACCCTCTTTTCTACCCTCTTTTCTACCCTCTTGAATTTTCATGAATTTCATCGTAAATGTTTTGTCAAGACTTCTTCGTACATGTTTTCTCACCTCATGAATTTTCCCGAAATAAAAAATAAAGTTGGTTTTTTTAAAAAAATATTTTTTTATTTTTATTGTAAGAACATGTTAGCAACAACAGCACCAAACTCGTTAGTCATGAACCCAACTTCAATGTTAGTAGAGATGAAAAGCTTCATTCCTTCTTCATATACTTTTGAAACAAAAATCCAGAAGATAAAGCAAGAACTTTTAACAAGTAATTTAGACTGTAGTGCGAAAGATGAAACAAATGAACAGTATCTTTATGAAATGCAGGACATTATTGACCATCTACCTAAACTTCCTGAAATACAACAACAAAAGCTTACTATTCCAGAATTCGATGAAATAGAAGTCAAAGCAACTGACTCAGTAGAAATAAAGAAGTTCATACGAAAGGTTAACTATGAGTTTCTTGGATTTCATTGCAACCACAAAGTCATGGACAAAGATTGCGACATGGTATATAAGAACATCTCTGACATATACAAATCTGAAGAGTTTAAGACCTACGACAACTTTGTTTCGTTAGTTGCAAAATGTGTTTGGGAAATAAGAGATAAAGATAGTAGGGGTAAGGTATGGAACGAACAAATAAAACCCGCTATGTTCGAGATGAAGAAAACCATTGACGCCTTAGTCATACTAGCAGGTAAGATTTCAATGTACAATGCTAAAATGAACCCACAATGTTCAAAATGTAAAGCAGCAATGAGGAAATATAACTACTCCGTCAAAGAGATAGAACGTATGCGAAACGACTATGCTGACTTAAAGAAAGAAGTAGAGAAACCAGCAGAAGATAAAATGGACATGTTGACATTTCTGAACAAAAACTATCCAACAGCTGACGATTTCCTTCTATCTGATGTCAAGAAGAAATATAAAGAAACCTTCGGCATTGTTAAAACATTCGATGTACTGACAGAAGAAATAGAAGCTACGAAATTGTTTAGAATTTCACGAATTCACAATGTTTACCATGTAAAACGCTTATAAAATAACTGGGGTAGAAATGAGGGTAGAAAAGAGGGTAGAGCTACCCATCTACCCTAAAATATATTTTTATTGAATTCTGAGTAAAATTTCATGAGTTTCCTCATATGCTTGCTTCCCTCGGAAAACCGAGAGAAGAACAGCGAGTAGTGAAAAAACCCTGGTCGCCAAAACTCTTTATTTTTTACGCTTGACTTTTTACAATTTGAACTTTGTTTGCGTAGATATGAATTCTGAAAGAAGTATGAGGGTCTTGTATGACTTTGTACTTCTCCCATAGTTCATGTCTGTCAAACTTACCTGCCATGGACTCTTTCATAAGTTCCATGAAATCGTCTTCGGACAATCCAGGGAAAAGTATGATATCAGTAAGTATTCTTTTAACATCCTTACTTAAACTCTTTGCTGTCTGTACACAAATGACAACTGAAATGTTAAAGTGTCTGAGCTTCTTAAGAATTCGACACATATCTTGTTCTCTATTCTTTAACAAAGGATGAGAGGCGAAATCATCTAAGATAAGAAGACATCTATGAGGGTATGTCTTCCAATCGTAAGATTGCAATTTCTTCGAAATGTATTCTATCTCTTTCTGTTTGTTTCTGAAGTGTTTCTTCTCTAATATTCTCTGCATTTCCTCATTTGGGTCTTTAAACTTCGAATTTATATACTCATTTATAGCATTATACTTCAAAACTCTTCTTTGGTACTTCTTTATCCAATCTAACAACTCAGTATCCTTTATACATACTAACTTAGACTTCTTTATAATATCTTTGAACGAATTGACGGTTTGGTCAAATTGACCAGAAGTACTACAAATGACAACTAACTCATAGAATGGGTTCTTCTCATCTAGTTCTTGTTGTTGTGCAGCCATTTTAAGATAAGTGAAAGTCTTACCCGACCCAGGTGGTGCAATTAGACCTGTTATACCATTCTGAGCAAATAAGAACTTTTCATGTATGGGTTTTATCTGAGCATTTTCTAACTTCCTCTTGTTCTTGTTTAAAACATTCTCAAATTTCTTGTCAATGTCAGCAAACTTTTTTTCTAACATATTTTTAGAAAAATTAAAATTTTTATCTTTTTGAAAATGTCTAGCGATTTCGCTATCTATATTCGAGACAAACTTTTCGACAGCAAAACATCTGTCGACCATAAAATCTTACATAGTGTAAACAAGAAAGGTGAATTTGTTCTAAAGTTCTGTTTCTGGGAATATGACAAGAACCATAAAACATTAAGCAGAGAAGTCTTAAAATTTGTCAATGACAGACTTGTTGACAGAGATGACGCCGATTGGAAAGATGAAGTCCAACAAAAGTTCTTAGAATGCAAAGAAGGCACATGCGCTGTTCTTGAAGATGAAATAGAAAACAGAATAGAAGAGCTATTAAAGGACAAAGAACTTTTACATAAATATGGTTGCGCCAAATTTGACATAACTCCACCAGAAAAGAAGAAGAAGAGAGAAAAGAAAGAAAAGAAAGTAGAAGAGAAGAAAGAACCTGAACCAGTTCCAGAGAAAAAGAAATTTGACATGTAAAAATAAAATTTTATTTTTAGAACATTTCTGGGTCAATGTCAATGTTCTCTTCCTCTTTAGGAGCAAACACTGGCTTAGACTCTAAAATCTTTTTACCCAATTTACCTTGAACTTCAACTATCTTAGACTCATAATATTCATAGTCGTCTGCTTTCTTTGGTTCATAAGGTATAACAAGTTTGTATGCTTTGCCTTCTTTAAGGTTTGAGAACCTTCTGTCAAAATTTTCTTTGACTGTTAACAAACCTTCTATGTCTAAGTCTTCAAATTTCGCACCATTTTTAGTCACAATAGCAAACTTAACTGGTTCGATGTTCCAAACTTTGTCAAATGTAGACTTTTCAAAATGGTAGAAGTAAACATTCAAATACGTGAATGGGTCTAGTTCTTCTTTAAGTCCTGACATGTACTTATTTACTGAGATGAATTTCGTCATCTTTTCTATCGGATAAAAAATATTTTTTTTAAAATTTACTCAGAAAAATTTTTCTTTGTATATACGCCGTTCTGAACATCTAAAAGATTTTTGACATTTGCCAAGAATGTTCGTTTAGACGCTGTCATATAACCATACTCTTGACAATACTGTTTATACGAATCGTACAATGACCTTTCATCTAAACACTCAAAGTTAGTCTCATCTATGAACAGTTCATAAACACTCTTGTTTGCTTCTAACAATGTTTGTCTTTCTTCGGTATGTGGAATTTGTCTTGGATTGAACTTAGAAATATCTAATGTCATGAAATATGAGAACAAGTGGTTGTAAAAGTCAGATGTCAAAGTTTCTGCTAAGTCGTCAAAATATTCTGTATCTTGCATATGAGAATCTGACGTTCTGACAACTACATATCTTCTGTCAGAACTTTCTAACTTCATCGGAACAGTATTGTTTGAAACCATAATGAAGTTTGCAACATTTTCACAAACTCTTTGGTCTTTATACTTTCTTTCAACAACTCCAACTTTGTCTGTTATAAGACTCTTCAAAGCATCTGAGTTCAAAACTTTTGTTGTATCTATACTTTGAAGTTCGTTACATACTATAAGTTTCATATTCTCTATTGAGGAGTTAAACTTGCCACAGATGTTTTCTAAGTTTGTCATATTCGGATTCGAATAACCTTCTAACAGTTTGCATAAGATATCTGTAAAGAATGTGTTCTTACCAGTTCCTTGTTTTCCAATTATAATGAGAGCAGTTTCATTTTTAGCACTTGGATGTTGTAAGATGTTTGCAAACCAACATAAGATATACTCATAAACCTTTTCGTTTCCATTGCATATAATTTCTTTGACATGGTCTAACCAAGCTTCTATAATATTTTCTTTCCATTCTACTTGTTCATATTTATATCCAGTGAAGATAGAATAGAAGTTTGGAGAAGGTGTATAGAACTTTATACCACGAACTGAAAAATCTTCTAACTTTGACAATAAGATATCCCAAGCATCTAACATCTTCATGCCAACTTGTACGACTTTTATTTTCTTAAGTTTCTGTCTACATTCTTGTTCTGAAACTATTGTTGCTCTTGGTTTGTTAAAGACAACATCCCATTCTTTCATAACATAACATTCTGGGGCAGAGTCGACATAAATGACTAAACGTTTCAAATTCTCGACTGCTTTGTTATAGTCTCGAAATGGACACATATTTCTGAACGCTTGGAAGTCATAAAAATCTGAAACGTCTATTCTGTACATTTTTATAAAAATAAAAAAAAATATTTTTTTATTCTTGAGCTTGTTGTTGCATTTGTTCCATTTGTTGCATTTGTTGTTCTTGAGCTATTTGTTGTTGAAGTTGTTCTTGTAATACAATACTTTCACCAGTTGCATCTTCCAATTCGAAACTTTCTGCCGTCATTGACAAATACATAGGACATAAAAGTTTTACAGGAACAAAGTTTGCGTCAACTAATGTCAACGTTATACTTGCCAAAGTGTTTGAGTTCACTAAGGTTGAAAATTCTGCATTCGAATGAACAATAGGCAAACCAGCAGAGAAAGTATTGTTTATACGCATAAGTATCTTTTGGTCATAGTAGTTTCTGTCGACATTCGAATAACACTTTGAACCTAAGTTTGAAACAATATATAAAATAGGTGTACTTAATGTCAATGGAATAGACATTCCTTGTATGACACCTTTTCCTGTTATAGGAAACTGTTGGTAGTAAAAACCAGATATAAGTTTTGTATTATAGCTCATATCGTTTATACTAAACTCAGTCGGACATCCAAACATAATGAAACCTGCTCTAGTTGCAGCACATGTTACATCCGTCCTTAAAGTATTAAATAAGTCAACAAAACCTGTTGGTGGTATATCTGAGTAAGTATCTTCAAAGAAGTATTTTTTACCATTCACAACAACAAAGTCTTCTGGCGTCAAAAGAGCAAAACAGGCTTTAGTCGTCATTGTGTTTAAGGTTAGTTTACAATATCGTCCTTGAGGACTTTGTAAGTTTGTTGTTATAGAATTATATGACTCAGGGTTTTTAGTCGTAATAGTATAAACCACTATGTCTTCTGCCATTTACTTAGCAACTAAATTTTAATGAAATGTTGTGGTCGTCAAATATTTTTATAACGTCTGGGAAACTATATTTTAAGTTCAACGTCTCACCTCCTTTCATAACGTATATCTTGTCAATGACATTGTATGAAACACCACAGCAAGCAATGTCGGGTTCTATTTCTTTGATGTTTATATCGTCTGCCTCTGTCAAAAGTTTCAATAGTTCTTTCAAAACTTCATGAGGTGCAATGACATATGAGTTCACTTTTACAGGGTTGTGTTCGACCAAGTTTAACATTATACCCAAAGCTTGACAAATCTTCTCCTGAGTTTTAAGTTTGTCTTTAAGTTGTTGGTAGTCGTTTCGAATATCTGCAACAGAACTTAAGTCTCTGCTAACTTCAGGATATGTTGGTTGTTCTTTTACAGGAACAATTGCTATACCATCTTCGTCTTCGTATGGTTTCCCCACTTCAACATCTCTGTCTTTGACATTGACAACAACACTTTGACTGTTTGTTTGAGTTGGTGAATTTAACTTCACATCTGCCACCGCCATTAAACCTTTTGAAACACTTACGCTTCTATTTTTCGGAAATGACATTTTACTTAGAATAAAAAGATGGACGTATTCGAGTATCTCTTCGAATTGAAGCAAAACAAGGTTTACACACACAAACAATACAAATACATTGACAGAATAGTTCTTTACACAAACAATGGAAAATGTTATAGAATAGCAGTCTTTGCTGAACCAAAATATTTTCATAAAGCAAAGAAAGTTGGTATAACCGAAATGGTGAAAGTTCTTGACGTTGACAAAAATATAACAACAAAACTGACCGATATTTCTAAAGGTAAGTTTATAATACAATATTATATCAAAACTGGCGTACTGTCAATATTTGACGGAGAGAAGTCAGTTCAAGAACAACTTACTGACCTGCTGCCAAAATCTGCTCGATGGAAGCTGTCGTTATGCCAATCTGAGGAGCCCCAGCAGGTTTCATCGAACGAATCTTCAAAAGAGCATCTTCCGTGAAAAGTGCTATTGGTTTTGTAAACTTCTTTGCTCTCAGTTCATCTGGACCGTCTCTGTCACCAGTATATTGTATTTGTACAGTACCAACAGTTGAAATACCACCCATAAAAGTCTTCTGAGTCAGCAAATGGAATGCCAAGCCAAAAGTTTGAACGGTCTCCATTTGTATATTGAGTTTTTTGAGCTCCTGTATGGGTCCATACTTTCACATATGGCATAATAGAACTTTGCATTTCAGGGTTAATGGTTGTTGTGAAGTTGTTGTTAAAGTTCATAGCATCTAATGTCAAGTTGTATGACCTCATATCCTCAACTGTAGAATATTCTTCTCTTGGATAGTATTTGCCATCTATGTTTATATGATATTTAATACCAGGGTTGTAGAAACAAGAATAGTCATTTATAGTTCGTCTGAACAGTACAAACATAGTATCTGCATGTTTCATTGCAGTTGTTAAAGCAATATCTGTTCTTGCACCTGGGTCAGCACTTTGGTTTCCAACTTCACCTGCAAAGTCTTTGACAGATATTTGGTGTATAGGGAACATAAGTGGAACTGCAATATATTTGGCAGCTAAAGCATTTGAAATATCTGGGTCCAACATATAAACGGCAAGTCTGCTTTCTATTCTCTTGCATTCAAACTTTTCGCATGTGAACTTAACTGGGTCCCAAGCATCTCCAGAAGCATTGAAATAATAGTTTACTTCAGTGTTGAGGTTTGAGAAACCAAAGTCTAAGTCAACTTTGTTTTTGCAAAAGTCGGCGAATGACATTTTATTTGTTCCCACTACTTCTGTAAGAGTGAATGGGTCTTGTGTTGGTGCAATGACTAAGTTATTTTTGCTTGGAGTAAGTTCAATAGAAATTTTTCCTGCCCAGTTTGGCAAGTATCTTAAAAACCTGAAGATGAGGAAAGATGACAAAGGAACTCTAAGTTTCAGTTTTACTTTGGTTACTGCTGCTGCAGTTTGTCCAGAAAGGTTAACATAAACTCCTGGAACGTTAGGGTCAAGTCTTCTTATTTTCTCAATAGTTGCATACTGGTCTGTTTGTTCTCTAGCTTGTGGTTGTACTGAGTTTCTCAAAGCGAACCATTCATAGTTTGCCCATGTTACTGTTTGAACTAAGTCAGAGTTAGAATATATCTTATATCCCATGAAAACTTCTGGAGCATATTGGTATCCGACATAGAAAATTCCATTGCAACCTTTCTTGTCAGACAACTTGGCAGAAGGTTTTATTTCAATGTCTTGTTCCACGTATAAGAAAGAGTTGTCAATAGAAATTATATGAAACCTGTCGCAAGCAATATCTACTGTTGTTGAAGAACCTTCTCCAAACTCACCTACGTTTCCATAAGAAACAGCAGTTGTATATTCGTAAGTTCCAGGAACTATTTCTGACCTTCTAATGGCATTGTCGCATTCGTTATACCATTCGGAAACATTTCCATTCATAGCATCCAAAACTGTTGGCGTTATATTCTGAGCGGCGTACATTTCATATGAGTAAAAATATAGAATAGTTGGATTTATATGTCATAATAGAACCCACTCCGACCAAGCTTTACTTTCTTCCTGACTGAGTTTTTAACTCTTCTTTTTCCTTCATTGCCCTCTGCTTCAAGTTGTTGCATCTTTGCATTATGTTCATCTAGTATGTTGCAAATTTTCCATGCCCTTTTTGCCTTTGGGCTCTGGTCGCCCATCTCAGGTAACCTATATCCTAGAAAGATTTTGTCATAGTTTGTATTTGAGTCTTCGCGTATTGTTTGCATGACTCTTTCCTGAGTTTCCGGTTCAAGCTCTTCAAACAGTGCCTGTCCATATGGAATATGCTCGTTTCCAAATATATGTTTTTGTAGCCATTCTGGTTTTCTTTCCATGTTACCAACAATATCTTTTGTGAATGGGAAAGCTTTTACCCAATCTTTCAGTCTTGCGTCGTTTATTTCTGTAGTTGGTTTTATTTTGTCAAGGAACATGTTTTTCAATACTAACATTTCATTTGGTACTGTCCATTTGAGTTTTCTTAAATATTCATCCCTTCTCGGTTCATTGTCTGAAAAGTAAGTTTTTATGACATTTTGTAAACTTTCGTTTGCAAGGTCATGTACAATAGGTTCTCTTCCTTCGCTCTCCCTAACTTTCTTTCTAAACTCTTCACCAAATATACCATCTCTATGGTTCTGTGTAGTTCTTTGAGATAAATGTTCTAGAACGTCAGGTGTTATATTTCCATCAGCCATGTTCATTTCATACTGGTTCAAAATATCTGCATCTTTCATATCTTTCAATGGCATTAAAGCCGCGCTGAAAATACCAGCTATATCTGGTTCACCATTCACTTCCATTGCGTCTACAACTTCTTGGAATTGTGGTTGTAAGTTTATGAACCACCTATCCGGATTAGCTTTATGACCCCATCTCATTGTAGTTCCATCGTCTGCAGAAACAAAAGTAGGTTTGTTTCCATCTTGGTTAGGTTCTGAATGAACTTTAAACAATGTTTCATTTCTATATGTTTTCTTGAAATTTAACCTTTTATTTTCACCGAGTTCATCCGAAGATTGAACGTTATATGCTCGTAAGTAAAAAGGGTTGTTGTATTTGCGTACATTTTCTTTCAGTACTTTCATTCTATGCTGAATATTTTCATCTGGTGTTGGAGTCTTTTGTATGTCGGCAAACATTTTTCGATATTCTTCTACTATGTCAGCCGAATCTTTCTTAGACTCTTGGAAAGATTCCATATTCACCTCATGCTCTTGTTGAGGGTCAAGATTTTTCGGCTGTTCCAAATCTTCATCTAGTTCTGTGAAGTTAGTTTCCAAAGGAGTGACTTGTTCGTTTCCTTCAGGCTCTTCTAGCTGTTGTTGCTGAACTATTTCTTCCATGTCTGGTTGTATCTGAACTTCTTCCTGTGGAGTTTCTTGTACCTCATCTGCTGGCATTTCATATATTCCGAGACCGTTTTCAACAATTTCCCTATCTACGTCATCCGCATTCATAAGCTTTTGTTCTTTCGTTCCGTCTCTATTTTTTACGCGTTTCATGACGAAAGTTGAATTGTCATTTAGCTCTGACATCAAATATCTCGGAGTAAATTCATCCATGTCATTTGGATGATATGCTATTAAATCATATCCCTTAGCGAGCTTGTATTTTCCAGGTTTGAGATTATATCCGTTTTGGTGCTGAGCCATAAAGCTAAATAGGTTCGGGTCAGTATTTCCATCCTTGAACTTTCCAATAGCTTCTTTATATCTGTCACTAAAGTCAACAGTATCTGGGAAACCACACTCTTCTTTAAGCATTTTTAAGAATTCTTGGTTTCCTTGTTCTCTACTTCTTTTATGTCCTTGCTCTGTTTGTGGTTGTTGTTGTGCAGGGTTTTGAACTGTTGGTTGCTGTGCTGGTTGTTGTGTTGGTTGTTGTGCTGGTTGTGGAGGTGGTTGTTGTGCTGGTTGTTGTGTTGGTTGTTGTGTTGGTTGTTGTGTTGGTTTTGGTGCATGCCTGTGTCTGTGTCCATGTGACGATGTAAATGTTTTAGGTAGTCCTGGTGCAGGTGCTTCTCTTGGAGGGTTTGGTGGTATATAAGTTCCACCAGCTGGCACATATGTTCCATCTGCAGCGTAATGTCCTACCTGACTTTTCGTTCTTAAGAAAGCATTTACTAGGTCTGTTTTGGTCTGTTGTAACTCTTTTTCTTGACTTTCCACAACAGTTGCTCTAACGGAGTCATAGGCACTTTGAACTGCCTGTCTCGTTGCTGCATCTGTTATTTTCGTCATATTTTGTGCTACTTCTTTTAACTCTTTGTCGAAACCTTCAGACTTCAGTTTCTTTCCAGATGAGAAGTCGTTCACTTGTTTCACCTTACTATGAAGAGCTTCGAAGGCGTTCTTAAAGTCAGCATTCGTTAAAGCTTCATTTGAACTGTCTTCATCCGCTTGTATTTTTGTCCTTATTGACCCTATAAGCTGGGCTGCTTTAGCGTTGGCTTGGGCATCTAACCAGTCATTGTTAGCTTTTATATATTCTGCGCTTTTCATTGCCTTTTGCATAGCCGCGTCGTTATTTTTACTTTCTTGTGCTAAGTTTTCATACTGTACGGTTTGGTTTTGCAACTGTAAAAGTTTTTCTGCCTTTACATTTGCTTCAACTTCTTTTTTATACTCATCGCTATCCATATATGTCTTCAGGGCTTTTTGTTTTATCTCTTCATCTTTCAGTATTTTATATTGAGTAGTATGGTTTTTCAAATTTATGACATCTTGTTCCATTTTTGCTACTTCTGCTGCTTTTTCTGACACTTTTTTCGCATATTCCTCTGTACTTAGTTCTTTCAGTTGTTCTTCTTTCTTCTTTTTCTCTACGTTTAACTCATTGAGTTTCTTTGTGTGTCTGTCATATTCTAGTTTCTTTTCGTTTTCACTTATTTGTTTCTGTATGTCTATGTTTGACTTTTTGACATCTGTTATTTGATTTTTGAGTGAACTCAAATTCATTTGACTTTGAGGGTTATAAGCTGTTCCGTCTGCAGCTCCACCATAGCCTGCCATTTTCGCTAAAAGTGCCGCTCTTAAACCCCCACTCTGTGCACCAATAACTCGGTTTAAAAGCATAGGATTGCTTGACATTTGTTGCAACATAGTGGGGTCATTCATAATTTGTTGTTGCAACTGTTGTTGTGGTGTCAGTTTTACTATTGGATGTTTCAATGCTCCCTTCCTCTTACGTATATTCTTACGTAGCTTACGTGGCATTTTAAGTGAAGTAAAAAACGGTTTTTGACAGATGTTTATATGACACTTTTTGTTCAGCACAAAAAACTACTCGGTCAACGTGTTGTCAGTTTTTAGGGGCTAGAAGGGGTGCAGCCCCTGGAAGCCCTCCGAATAAAAAACTTCATTCATACTAAACATCTTCAGGGCTAGAAGGCACGAAGTGCCTGGAAGCCCCACTACCTTTTTTTTTTTTTTTTTTTTTTTTTGAATTTATTCATATTTTAAACTTCACATCCAATTAGGATACAATTCTAGTCATAAGTGTAATCTTATCTGTGAAATAAACTCAAACAAATTCTAATAATAAAGTAGAAGTTTTAAATGCAAATACAAAACAACATCTACTAAACACACCTTAACTAAAAAGAATGAATCTAATTTTAATTTTTCATTGTTTAATATTTATTTTCGAGATTGGGACAAAGTTGCAATTCGGCACTTTTTGTAAAAAAATGGGGTCATACTCATAATGAATAGAGACTTATAGCCAAGTCTTGATATCATGCAGGGAGAATATACATAGATAAGCAATTATATTTTATAGTAGTAGTATTCAGAAATTCTTACAATTTACAATACAATTTTCAAAAATGGATAAAGACTAATAGCCAAGTCTTGATATCATGCAGGGAGAATATACATTGATAAGCAATTATATTTTATAGTAGTAGTATTCAGAAATTCTTACAATTTACAATACAATTTTCAAAAATGGATAAAGACTAATAGCCAAGTCTTGATATCATGCAGGGAGAATATACATTGATAAGCAATTATATTTTATAGTAGTAGTATTCAGAAATTCTTACAATTTACAATACAATTTTCAAAAATGGATAAAGACTAATAGCCAAGTCTTGATATCATGCAGGGAGAATATACATTGATAAGCAATTATATTTTATAGTAGTAGTATTCAGAAATTCTTACAATTTACAATACAATTTTCAAAAATGGATAAAGACTAATAGCCAAGTCTTGATATCATGCAGGGAGACTCTCTACAAATACAAAAATTGATTATCATAAGGAAATACAAATTTATCAATTTTCATGTGAAAATTACATAAATTTGTTCTCCAATAAATAGCAATAATACTTTGAATGTTATATTAAGTAATATAGCTTCAGGTAAATAAGCTTACACTTCAAAAATATACTGTTTATTCATTAATTTTAAAAAAAGTCCAAATTATCTAATCTTGCTTACTCTTCCTTTAAACTTCTTTGTGCCAAATTTAATATTGCCTTCAAAGATGGAATAAGGACATTAGGTTCAAAAATATTTTATTATACTCATTCGAAATTAAAAATAATAAAATTTATATATATTAATTTCATTAAATCAAGGTTAAAAATTTCACCGGAAAAATAACCTCAGTGTGATAAATTTATCACCGGAAAAATTTACAATAAGGTTAATACCGAAAATATCGAAAAATCAATATTTAAGGTTAATTTAAGAGTATGCACTTTTGTCACCTACTCTTTATTTTCAACATTGATGCATTTCTTTATAAACTTTATGGCAGTGAAGTTTCCTCTAAAACATTAGGCAATCAAGAATGACTGTTCCTTCGAATTTCAATCCTGAATAGTGAACTGAGATTATCTATATTTGATTCTTTGATGAAAGAAACACAAACTTCATTTCCACTGATGTAACAACTTCAACAACCTGAACCATAATCATTAGATGTTCCACAGCCAAAATATCCTTGAAAAACCTCCTGAAATTCCGAAGTGATATTGTTCCAGTCAGATTGTTCTGTTTTCAGAATCTCCTTTACAGAATTTGCCATTATCAAGACCGATGCTTCCTCCTGTTTTTGTTCCTCCTTTATTTCTGCTTTGTGCGATGTTATATTCTTCTAATGATTATCCTGGACCTCTTTGATCTTTTGAGTCTGAACATCCTGCAAATCAATATTAAATATGTAACCTTTGAAAATTGTATTCTTGTTACAGGAAAAAAATTTAAAGTCTTATGCGTTTGTTATATTAATGAAGCAATAAACACTGTAGTCATCTTGATCATCAACTATGGAATCATAACTGCAAATTCGATCTTGAATAAATTATTCTTTTTGGATATATGAAATACAGCCACCATTTGCTATGTTGCTGCAATTATTAAAAAGGGTAGTATCAATTAGAAATTTGATATCAGTAATGTTTGTTTCAAGATGGACATATCATTGGATATTTACCGAGTCAAAGTTGCATGATGAAACATGATAATTATATTCACTTGCATCAATCTTAGTGCTTTGAAAATTACATCCTTCGAACCACAGACTCTGACCCCTCCATAACACCACCTTAGACCACTGTGCTACGTAGCCTGTCGACATAAGATTTTATAAATTGCATATTTGACGTAAATTTATTTCCATCTAGCTTCCCACCGCATAAGATATTTATACGTGTTTGTAAGACATTCATTAAACATTTACGATGAAGTCATGACAAAACATTTACGATGAAGTCATGACAAAGTGTTTACGAAGAAGTCATGACAAAACATTTACGACGAAGTCATGACAAAACATTTACGACGAAGTCATGACAAAAAATTTACGATGAGAGAATGAGGTGAAAAAAGAGGTGAAAAAACGGGTGAGATCTCACCTCTTCACCTAAAATATATTTTTGTGCTATATTTACACCCATTTACGAAGAAGTCATGAATCCTACGTCAATTATGTTCGACACTGTAAGCATTAACGATAACATTAACGATAACATTAACGATAACATTCATTTTTGCATCAATCCTGCTGTGTTGTCAAAATGTCATGTTGTCAGTAATTTTAAGAGAAGTTAATTAACATGGTAGCACATGGTGACGTAGTGACACCTTCAGTTATTCAAAAATAATTAATTATTGAATAACCTAAAAACATTTACGATTTAATTTCCTGTGTTGTTGTCAAAATGTCATGTTGTCATCATTTTTAAGAGAAGTTAAATAACCAGGTGACATGGTGACGTAGTGACACCTTCAGTTATTCAAAAATAATTAATTATTGAATAACCTAAAAACATTTACGATAAAATAACTGATAACAAAATTTTATTTTTATATAAATGAATACCCCACAAGCTCAAAATTTACCACGAATCATAACAAGGGAGGAAATGATAAAAAAGATGCAAGAACTAATTAAAAACAACAAACCACGAAAACCGAGAAGATGCGGTTATGCAGTAATGATGGAAAGAAGATGAGGAATAAAAATTAAATTTGGATTGAGTTTAAAAATTCATCTTTATTAAATTCATCTCTTCCAATCAATTTATTTATTCTATTAAATTCTTTTATTTTTGCTTCACTCAGTTTAAGGATTGAACGGTAAGTTTCTAATTTTTCGATTATTTCTTTCCTCTCTTTATTGTTTTCAGCCCCACCGCATGTTTTTGTAATAGCATATTTTTGATTTAATTCTGTTTAGTTTCTTTTTATATTCATCGTCTGGACTCTGAATCTTAATTGAATCAGGACTCTTGGATGCTTCGTTGTCACTCATTTCTTACGAAATAAAAAAATTAAATATTATTTAAATATAATGGAGTAATAAAATAAATCGGAATTTCTATTAATTTATTGTTAACCTCAACTAATGCATTGCCGTTAATATATCTAACAAATTCAGCTATTGTGTCAAATCTTCGTCTTTTTTTGTCATTGATTTATCAGTTTTTCCATAATCGAGATGAATCAAAACTTTATCCCCTTGTTTAAAATTCATGAGCCCCGAATTAATTTGTTCACGTTTAACATCATTCAACCTTTCCATTTGCTTTCTAATATATTCCCATTCTTTTGAAATATCATCTTTCATTTCCACTGGTTTCATGTTTATAGTTCTATGCCATGTATTATTGTAATAATATACTAACTGCTGTATGATGGAGTCATGATTTCCATCCCAGTATATCTGACCGTTAACCCCTAACGCATCTCTAAGAGTTCTCATTACCGCATCAACTATTTTATTACGAAACGTATATGGAGAGGATGAAAAGAAAAAATTAATTTGTGGGAAATAATGAGCCATAGCTGCCCGAAATCCTTTATCACCATCACCCCTTATATTATCTACTTTTTCATGATCTAGTAAGTATTGAATAGCTCTTCTTGTTTCCTGTTCTGTTTTCCCTTTCACCGGAATGCAATATAAATATCTAGTGTTAATGTTAATGGCAAATAAATAAGTAACGTTTCTTTTTGAATATTCCAGATGATCGATTTCGTATGAATATGGATATGGAGCAAATGAAGGGCGACTAAATTTTTCCTTTAACGGTTGAATTTTCGGGTCAATTGGTTTATTTAATATCTTGAAATCCTTTTTAAAATCTTTTTGCTTCTTTAATGTTTGAAATGGATATAATAAAGTGAATGATGAAGGATTAACTGAAGGAGGAGGTACTGTCGTTGGAGGTTTTGGTGTTGCAAGTGGTTTAATTTTATCTGCTTTGATTTTGGATTTCATTCCCCCCTTCATTAATTCTGGATGTATTCTATTCATTTGTTTTAAATATGCTGTATATAAAGGTTTGATATACTTTCCCGCTTCGAGTTTATGTTGAAGGATGAATTCCAAAAGTTGATCTTCATTTAAAAGTCGGGCTGAATATGGTTTAACTAATGAATCATAAATTAAAGCTTGTGCATCATTTATGGTCTGAAGGACCTGGGCGTTTTGCACCCTTTGTTTTTGCGGCTCGGGATTATATAATTTATATAATTCATCAATATCTTCTTCTGTTAATACTTTATTTTTGAAATCTTTCAATTGTTTAAGTTGTGATTTAGTTTTTCCCTTTGTATATTCATTATTTTTAATTTTGTCTTTAATTTTAGAAATTATTTTATCATGATATTTCAAAATTTCATTTTTATAATACGAATAATAATAATCCATATCATCATCACCCGTTATATTGTTATTATGTTTTTGGAGATATGATTTTAATTCATAATAATTAAGAAAATTTTGATTAAGGATACCCTTACGTGTCAGATTTTTTGCGCATACGAAGAAGTCATGCTAGACATGAGTTATAAACCTGAAATTTTAGCAACATATTTAAAACTTTTTAAACTACACTACACTTTAATATTCAAGAACAAAAATATTCTTTTTAGAAATTACATAATTATTTTATGTGAAATCTATATAAAAACATATTTTGCGAGCGTAACTAAAAAAAAAAAAAAAAAAAAGAAAGGTAGTGGGGCTTCCAGGCACTTCGTGCCTTCTAGCCCTGAAGATGTTTAGTATAAATGAAGTTTTTATTCGGAAAATTGTTAGTCTTCTGGGTCGAAAACATTATATAATGTGTCGCTTTTCACAAATTATATATGTTTTCATGTTTTGTCATGATTTCATCGTACATGCTTTGTCATGACTTCTTCGTAATGAGCGTAAATGACCCAAAAATATAATTTAGGTGAAGAGGTGAGATGTCACCCGTTTTCTCACCTGTTTTCTCACCTCTTGAATTTTCATGATTTCTTCGTAAATGTTTTGTCAAGACTTCTTCGTAAATGTTTTGTCAAGACTTCTTCGTAATGAGCGTAAATGACCCAAAAATATAATTTAGGTGAAGAGGTGAGATGTCACCTCTTTTCTCACCTGTTTTCTCACCTCTTGAATTTTCATGATTTCTTCGTAAATGTTTTGTCGAAACTTCTTCATCGTAAATGTTTTTTACTTCACTTAAAATGCCACGTAAGCTACGTAAGAATATACGTAAGAGGAAGAGAGCATTGAAACATCCAATAGTAAAACTAACACCACAACAACAGTTGCAACAACAAATGCTGAATGACCCCACTATGTTGCAACAAATGTCAAGCAATCCTATGCTTTTAAACCGAGTTATTGGTGCACAGAGTGGAGGTTTAAGAGCGGCACTTTTAGCGAAAATGGCAGGCTATGGTGGAGCTGCAGACGGAACAGCTTATAACCCTCAAAGTCAAATGAATTTGAGTTCACTCAAAAATCAAATATCAGATGTCAAAAAGTCAAACATAGACATACAGAAGCAAATAAGTGAAAACGAAAAGAAACTAGAATATGACAGACACACAAAGAAACTCAATGAGTTAAACGTAGAGAAAAAGAAGAAAGAAGAACAACTGAAAGAACTAAGTACAGAGGAATATGCGAAAAAAGTGTCAGAAAAAGCAGCAGAAGTAGCAAAAATGGAACAAGATGTCATAAATTGAAAAACCATACTACTCAATATAAAGTACTGAAAGATGAAGAGATAAAACAAAAAGCCCTGAAGACATATATGGATAGCGATGAGTATAAAAAAGAAGTTGAAGCAAATGTAAAGGCAGAAAAACTTTTACAGTTGCAAAACCAAACCGTACAGTATGAAAACTTAGCACAAGAAAGTAAAAATAACGACGCAGCCATGCAAAAGGCAATGAAAAGCGCAGAATATATAAAAGCTAACAATGACTGGTTAGATGCCCAAGCCAACGCTAAAGCAGCCCAGCTTATAGGGTCAATAAGGACAAAAATACAAGCGGATGAAGACAGTTCAAATGAAGCTTTAACAAATGCTGACTTTAAGAACGCCTTCGAAGCTCTTCATAGTAAGGTGAAACAAGTGAACGACTTCTCATCTGGAAAGAAACTGAAGTCTGAAGGTTTCGACAAAGAGTTAAAAGAAGTAGCACAAAATATGACGAAAATAACAGATGCAGCAACGAGACAGGCAGTTCAAAGTGCCTATGACGCCGTTAAAGCAACTGTTGTGGAAAGTCAAGAAAAAGAGTTACAACAGACCAAAACAGACCTAGTAAATGCTTTCTTAAAAACGAAAAGTCAGGTAGGACACTATGCTGCAGATGGAACATATGTGCCAGCTGGTGGAACTTATATACCAGCTGGTGGAACTTATATACTAGCTAGTGGAACTTATATACCACCAAACCCTCCAAGAGAAGCACCTGCACCAGGACTACCTAGAACATTTACATCGTCACATGGACACAGACACAAGCATGCACCAAAACCAACACAACAACCAACAGTTCAAAATCCAGCACAACAACAACAACAACCAGCACAACAACCACCTCCACAACCAGCACAGCAACCAACAGTTCAAAACCCTGCACAACAACAACCACAAACAGAGCAAGGACATAAAAGAAGTAGAGAACAAGGAAACCAAGATTTCTTAAAAATGCTGAAGGAAGAGTGTGGTTTCCCAGATACTGTTGACTTTAGTGACAGATATAAAGAAGCTATTAGAAAGTTCAAGGATGGAAATACTGACCCGAACCTATTTAGCTTTATGACTCAGCACCAAATGGGATATAATTTCAAACCTGGAAAATACAAGCTCGCTAAGAGATATGATTTAATAGCATATCATCCAAATGACATGAACGAATTTACTCCGAGATATTTGATGTCAGAGCTAAATGACAATTCAACTTTCGTCATGAAACGCGTAAAAAATAGAGACGGAACGAAAGAACAAAGGCTTATGAATGCGGATGACGTAGATAGGGAAATTGTTGAAAACGGTCTCGGAATATATGAAATGCCAGCAGATGAGGTACAAGAAACTCCACAGGAAGAAGTTCAGATAAAACCAGACATGGAAGAAATAGTTCAGCAACAACAGCTAGAAGAGCCTGAAGGAAACGAACAAGTCCCTCCTTTGGAAACTAACTTCACAGAACTAGATGAAGATTTGGAACAGCCGAAAAATCTTGACCCTCAACAAGTGTATGCGGAGAATATGGAATCTTTCCAAGAGTCTAAAAAAAATTCGGCTGACACAGTAGAAGAATATCGAAAAATTTTCACCGACATACAAAAGACTCCAACACCAGATGAAAATATTCAGCAAAGAATGGAAGTACTGAAAGAAAATGTACGCAAATACAACAACCCTTTTTACTTACGAGCATATAACGTTCAATCTTCGGATGAACTCGGTGAAAATAAAAGGTTAAATTTCAAGAAAACATATAGAAATGAAACATTGTTTAAAGTTCATTCAGAACCCAACCAAGATGGAAACAAACCTACTTTTGTTTCTGCAGACTATGGAACTACAATGAGATGGGGTCATAAAGCTAATTCGGATAGGTGGTTCATAAACTTACAACCACAATTCCAAGAAGTTGTAGACGCAATGGAAGTGAATGGTGAACCAGATATAGCTGGTATTTTCAGCGCGGCTTTAATGCCGTTGAAAGATATGAAAGATGCAGATATTTTGGACCAGTATGAAATGAACATGGCTGAAGGAAATATAACACCTGACGTTCTAAAACATTTATCTCAAAGAACTACACAGAACCATAGAGATGGTATATTTGGTGAAGAGTTTAGAAAGAAAGTTAGGGAGAGAGAAGGAAGAGAACCTATTGTACATGACCTTGCAAACGAAAGTTTGCAAAATGTCATAAAAACTTACTTTGCAGACAATGAACCGAGAAGGGATGAATATTTAAGAAAACTCAAACGGACAGTACCAAATGAAATGTTAGTATTGAAAAACATGTTCCTTGACAAAATAAAACCAACTACAGAAATAAATGACGCAAGACTGAAACATTGGGTAAAAGCTTTCCCATTCACAAAAGATATTGTTGGTAACATGGAAAGAAAACCAGAATGGCTACAAAAACATATATTTGGAAACGAGCATATTCCATATGGACAAGCTCTGTTTGAAGAGCTTGAACCGGAAACTCAGGAAAGAGTCATGCAAACAATACGCGAAGACTCAAATACAAACTATGACAAACTCTTTCTAGGATATAGGTTACCTGAGATGGGCGACCAGAGCCCAAAGGCAAAAAGGACATGGGAAATTTACAACATACTAGGTGAACATGAGGCAAAGATGCAACAACTTAAAGCAGAGGGCAAGTTACCAAAAGCGACACCAAAGAAGAAGAGTAGAGTTGGAGAAAGTAGTGAAGAACAAAGTGAAAGTAGTGGCAATGAAGGAAAAAGAAGAGTTAAAAACTCAGTCAGGAAGAAAGTAAAGCTTGGTCCGAGTGGGTTCTATTATGATATATAAATCCAACTATTCTATATTTTTACCCATATGAAATGTACGCCGCTCAGAATATAACGCCAACAGTTTTGGATGCCATGAACGGAAATGTTTCCGAATGGTATAACGAATGCGACAATGCCATTAGAAGGTCAGAAATAGTTCCTGGAACTTACGAATATACAACTGCTGTTTCTTATGGAAACGTAGGTGAGTTTGGAGAAGGTTCTTCAACAACAGTAGATATTGCTTGCGACAGGTTTCATATTATTTCTATTGACAACTCATTCTTATACGTGGAACAAGACATTGAAATAAAACCTTCTGCCAAGTTGTCTGACAAGAAAGGTTGCAATGGAATTTTCTATGTCGGATACCAATATGCTCCAGAAGTTTTCATGGGATATAAGATATATTCTAACTCTGACTTAGTTCAAACAGTAACATGGGCAAACTATGAATGGTTCGCTTTGAGAAACTCAGTACAACCACAAGCTAGAGAACAAACAGACCAATATGCAACTATTGAGAAAATAAGAAGACTTGACCCTAACGTTCCAGGAGTTTATGTTGACCTTTCTGGTTCAGATGGAAATGCTGTCACTAAAGTAAAACTGAAACTTAGAGTTCCTTTGTCATCTTTCCTCATCTTCAGGTTTTTAAGATACTTGCCAAACTGGGCAGGAAAAATTTCTATCGAACTTACTCCAAGCAAAAATAACTTAGTCATTGCACCAACACAAGACCCATTCACTCTTACTGTAGCTGGAACTGGTGGAGCCAAGTTCTGTGACTTTTGCAAAGACAAAGTTGACTTAGACTTTGGTTTCTCAAACCTCAACACTGAAGTAAAGTATTATTTCAATGCTGCTGGAACTGCTTGGGACCCAGTTAGGTTCACATGCGAAAAATTTGAATGCAAGAGAATAGAAAGCAGACTTGCAGTCTATATGTTGGACCCAGATATTTCAAATGCTTTAGCTGCCAAATATATTGCAGTTCCACTTATGTTCCCTATACACCAAATATCTGTCAAAGACTTTGCAGGTGAAGTTGGAAACCAAAATCCAGGAACCGCAGGTGCAAGAACAGATATTGCTTTAACAACTGCAATGAAACATGCAGATACTATGTTTGTACTGTTCAGACGAACTATAAATGACTATTCTTGTTTCTACAACCCTGGTATTAAATATCATATAAACATAGATGGCAAATATTATCCAAGAGAAGAATATTCTACAGTTGAGGATATGAGGTCATACAACTTGACATTAGATGCTATGAACTTTAACAACAACTTCACAACAACCATTAACCCTGAAATGCAAAGTTCTATTATGCCATATGTGAAAGTATGGACCCATACAGGAAGTCAAAAAACTCAATATACAAATGGAGACCGTTCAAACTTTTGGCTTGGCATTCCATTTGCTGACTCAGAAGACTTTATGGGTGGTATTTCAACTGTTGGTACTGTACAAATACAATATACTGGTGACAGAGACGGTCCATATGAACTGAGAGCAAAGAAGTTTACAAAACCAATAGCACTTTTCACGGAAGATGCTCTTTTGAAGATTCGTTCGATGAAACCTGCTGGGGCTCCTCAGATTGGCATAACGACAGCTTCCATCGAGCAGATTTTGGCAGCAGGTCAGTAAGTTGTTCTTGAACTGACTTCTCTCCGTCAAATATTGACAGTACGCCAGTTTTGACATAAAATTGTATTATAAACTTTCCTTTAGAAATATCTGTAAGTTTTGTTGTTATATTTTTGTCTGCTTCAAGAACTTTCACCATTTCAGTTATACCAACTTTCTTTGCTTTATGAAAATATTTTGGTTCAGCAAAGACTGCTATTCTATAACATTTACCATTGTTTGTATAAAGAACTATTCTGTCAATGTATTTGTATTGTTTGTGTGTGTAAACTTTGTTTTGCTTCAATTCGAAGAGATATCCGAATACGTCCATCTTTTTATTCTAACTAAAATGTCATTTCCGAAAAATAGAAGCGTAAGTGTTTCAAAAGGTTTAATGGCGGTGGCAGATGTGAAGTTAAATTCACCAACTCAAACAAACAGTCAAAGTGTTATTGTCAATGTCAAAGAAAGAGATGTTGAAGTGGGGAAACCATACGAAGACGAAGATGGTATAACAATAGTTCCTGTAAAAGAACAACCAACATACCCTGAAGTTAGCAGAGACTTAAGTTCTGTTGCAGATATTCGAAACGACTACATGCAACTTAAAGACAAACTTAAAACTCAGGAGAAGATTTGTCAAGCTTTAGGTATAATGTTAAACTTGGTCGAACACAACCCTGTAAAAGTGAACTCATATGTCATCGCACCTCATGAAGTTTTGAAAGAACTATTGAAACTTTTGACAGAGGCAGACGATATAAACATCAAAGAAATAGAACCCGACGTTAGTTGCTGTGGTGTTTCATATAATGTCATTGACAAGATATACGTTATGAAAGGAGGTGAAACGTTGAACTTAAAATATAGTTTCCCAGACGTTATAAAAATATTTGACGACCACAACATTTCATTAAAATTTATTTGCTAAGTAAAATGGCAGAAGACATAGTGGTTTATACTATTACGACTAAAAACCCTGAGTCATATAATTCTATAACAACAAACTTACAAAGTCCTCAAGGACGATATTGTAAACTAACTTTAAACACAATGACGACTAAAGCCTGTTTTGCTCTTTTGACACCAGAAGATTTTATTGTTGTGAATGGTAAAAAATACTCCTTTGAAGATACTTACTCAGATATACCACCAACAGGTTTTGTTGACTTATTTAATACTTTAAGGACGGATGTAACATGTGCTGCAACTAGAGCAGGTTTCATTATGTTTGGATGTCCGACTGAGTTTACTATAAACAATATGAGCTATAATACAAAACTTATATCTGGTTTTTACTACCAACAGTTTCCTATAACAGGAAAAGGTGTCATACAAGGAATGTCTATTCCATTGACATTAAGCACACCAATCTTATATATTGTTTCAAACTTAGGTTCAAAGTGCTATTCGAATGTCGACAGAAACTACTATGACCAAAAGATACTTATGCGTATAAACAATACTTTCTCTGCTGGTTTGCCTATTGTTCATTCGAATGCAGAGTTTTCAGCTT